TCATCAAACTCCCAAGCATTACCCTGACGACATAAAGTGTGACAATTTTCTTTAACCAGCCTTGCTTTGGTCGGTGTCTTTATGTGCATCACTGCCCTCAGCGTTGTCCTCTCGAATGACACATTCAAAGGCAGCATACAATAAGATTTTAGGAAGCAATCATTAAAAGACAAAGTTAAGAAAAAGCGAGACAGGTGAAATGTGTGATGTCAGAGGTCATATTTGGTACAACTTTTAGTTATACCGCGAAAGCTACGAGGGCAAATCTTAAATAGTCTTATAGGCTAACTAAGTAGCTTCCAGGGAGTACCAAGCATCAAATTTACCAGTGTCAGCCCCTCTGACTAAACACGATAATTCCTCATTTCGGAATAGGCTAGGACTTGGTGATTTACCTGTCCCGCATGTCAAACACTTTATACTTCCGTATAAATTCGAAGAATCTCTTCTATTTATGTGCAAAATAGATTCTTATATTATTAAGTAGAACAATCAGAGGTTAGAGCCAGAAGACAAAGTAGTCTAAATTAGAAACACCCTTTCCTTATCAGGCAATGGAAGAGCGTTTTGCAGAGGCAGCCAAATTTTTCCTTTTGCCTATACTAGCTCTCAAATTTTTCAGTCTCCTTCAAACTATCAGAACGCTGGCATCTAGCATCAACGGGGTTATTTCAAGAGTTCTGGCTGGTACCATCTGGACTGCCATCACAGCCGTGTTCAACTATGCAAATGGGAAGGTTTGTCACGACATTTATTCTCATCTGCCTAGCAAACCAGTTTGAACAGTTCGAAAGTCATCATCAGCCTTGTTTAAAGCAATGTGTTTCGTAAGTTGAATTGTTGTCATCTATATAGGTGGAAGAGGTTTTAGGATGGAAAAATGAAGGAGAGTCAGGCATACCTAACTGCTCTTTCTAACCGCGTGCACGTCCAAACTGCTGTTTATTCCAGGATGTGAAATGAGGCATGTAGCGCATGCATTAGGTGGAGAGGGATTGTAAAGACGAAGCTGATGAGAACGAAAAAGACAAGGGAGAATTTAAGGAAGGCTATCTTTCCAATATTGCAGGATTGCAGTAACCCATGGAATGCCTTTGTTTAACCGGTGACTTTAGGCATTCAGTAGCTCTTTAAATAGTTTAAGGGTGAAACCGCTAATTATCATGAGCTGTCTGTTAGGCGAAAGCCCAACCCTCATCCTTGTGATTCATAGCAAGCAGAAATCATCGGGCTTAACTTAATAATGGGTCAGATGCTCTATACTTCTAAGAGCAATGTAGCGACCTCTTGAAAGCCAAATCATTTAGAATATAGAGAGCCAAGAAAATATGAGGTGCACAAGAAAGGCAACTTTGAAATAAAGTACAGAAATTAGATTGATATTCATGAATCATTTACAGGTTTACCAAGGCACCAACCTTACTATTTCAGTAGCTTGCGACAAAACATGAATTTTATCAGAAAACTAAGCAACACATTAGCGTTCGACTGACAGCGAAGGGGATTGAGAAATACCTTTTAATTAGCCAATGAATCAGGCCTGGGTGTCATGCACTTTCTGCCCTGACTTTAGTCTTGCATGACGCAAAATATTCTGCCATTATGGCAAAACTTTTGTCAAAACCTGAGGCA